CCCGAGTTTCAGCTAGCTCAGTACAGAACAAATTTCAACATAACCTCACTCAAGGCATCATGCGCAAGCGAGCGACTGTAATGAAAGTATAGTTTGGTCATGATTAAGCTTGATTCTAATCCTGCATAGTTACCAACCGTCTCGCATCGTGCATTTCAAAGTGATTTTGCAGAAACACATGCGTGATCATAAATGTGTCACTAATTTAGTACAAGTCTAGGCATGATAACGTATGATCTCGAATTCAGGGGAAAATGAATTTAAAATTAGAAGAAATTAGTTTTATTAAAAATCTAAAACGGTCAATCATGCAGTAACTTAAGTCAATAGAGAGCTTTCGTTATCTCGTTCGAGAATCAACCGAGAGCCCTGGAGGCGCGTGCGGTCTTGCGCAGGGGCTGATCCAGATGTCCGGAGGGCCTAAAGGCTAAAGGGGGCCGAAAGTGGGGCCGATCGAGATAATACTACCCTAGGGGTTTCAAGAGCATGCCCCAGCGACATTTTTGTTTCCAGGCACCAAATATACCATCTGAGGCGTTTTGGGCAATCAATTTTTTTTCTTTGTTTCTTTCTTTCTTTGTTTGTTTCTTTCTTTGTTTGTTTCTTTCTTTCTTTTTTCTTTCTTCTTTATTTTTCCTTTTACTTTCCATAAAATGTGGTGGGGGGGGGGGGGGGGGTTTGGGCCGCCTCTGTTGCGCGTTCATTGTCACAACCAACTTTTGATTATATGACTGAAACAGCAGTTGTCAGTTAGCATCAAACACGCACGCATTCAGGTAGGCCTAAGTACTGTCTCTTATACACATCTAGATGTGTATAAGAGACAGCAATATAACAAAATAAGATATTTTGGATTTGCGGCAGGAGAATCAATTAGGGGGCTTATATGTATTTTCTAATTGCTTTAGTATTTGTTTCAATTGTATTACTTGAAAAAGTCACCGTCATTTTTCATTTTCGATTGGTGCTATGCTGACCGCCCACCGCGTAGAGGCTGCATTTTTACACCTCTAGCGACTTCTTTGGCTTTATTTCGGCTGTTCACCAATCAAATATCTTGTTGTTCATTCCCCTCCCCGCATCAAACACTCACGCATTCAGGTAGGCTTAAGTATAGTATTTACGTGGATTGAATACATAAATCACTGACACGTTACTAAATATTTATCAGTATGATTCTGATGATGGTGGGTAGCCGACCTTTGAAGGACTCCAAAAGTGAAGGACCATGGTTATTAATAGGCGGCCCGCTGGCCGAATTTGGCCGATGGAGCCGTTGGTCCGTGTGAATAAAAGTAATTAAATTAATTAGTAAAAGTCAAAAGAACAGAAGGTTGTTATTTTTAATATATTTTTCTGGAATTTTCTAATGTTGCTTAATTAATTTTAAATAATTATTTTAAATAAAAGAATTTGTTTTTGTATTAGTTTGAACTTTATCCAAGATAATTTTTTGTACTTTGGGAGAACCGGTTTTTTGTCTTTGTTTTCAAAATGTTTATTTACTTTTAAATTTTGATTTTTAATTTTAAGGAAAGATCACGCTTGCGAACATGGCTCTTATTGTATAGAAGATGAAAATGTGCATGTTGGGTTTGTTTGTATCTAAATCTAAAATAAAGTTAATCTTCTATTAGAAAAAAAAGCCCGGCAAGATTGTTTGAGGCTCTACTTTACAGAAAATGGCACTATGGCGGAGGCTACTTGACACCTGCTAATTTTCCCCACGGATTTTTTCCACCTGAAGAGTTATTTCCCCGCGTTAGTATAAATATTTTAATGTTTATATTACTAACGTTTGCAATATTGTAAATTCTTGTTTTATCCAACTAGGGTGTGAACAGAATAGGCCTATTGATAATTATGTATTCTTTGCATAAAGTTACAGAATTGTTTACCATATATTATTGTGTAGGCCTAGCACAACAAAAATTAGAATTTGAAATTACCAAAAACATTATAACGGGTTGCTGTATTATACGGGTACTAATTATCTTTGGCCCGTGCTCAATCAAAATGTTGGCCCTTTAGAATTAAGAATCAGGGGTGTAGGAATATAACAGGAGGTGTAGGAATAGTGTCGAATAATAGGAAAGTTCACCACCGCAGCCTATTCATTTTTGTTTGAGTAATGAAATCTTTGTGTACATAGTTCGGGTGCTCAAATTAAACATAGGCCTACATTGAAACTCGAATTGTAGTACGTGGCTTCATTAAAACTATTTTTGTTTATGTACCCGGTATTGTCAACAGACACAATCCCTAAAAACAGCTTTAATATACAGTACTAGACTCAAATTTTCGGAGCGCCGGGGTATTCGCCCCCAGAACCCCACTGGTCTCCGACCCTGGACCCCAGCTGGGCCTCTGGTGGGCCCCGTCCCGCGTTGCAAATCACACATTCCACGTTTTGGTAACTATGGATCCTGTGATAACGCCACTAAAAAAATCTATATTCTTTTATGCCTCGTAATAAGATTTAGTTCATAAAAAAATCTCATTATTTTTGGAGGGCCCTTTAATAAGCCCAGTTTCCATATAGGATCGCTACACAGTCACTACATCGTTTTCACTGCAATCTTTTTTACGGCTTAAATCGGGGTCGGCGATAGTGTGTAGCGATTTTATGGAAATCAGGCTTTAATATCAGGCGATCTTCATAAGCTGGAAAAGTAACAATCTCAAATATGTATATAAATGTTCATATATTTTCATACTATTTAAACAAAGACAACGACGACATTCTTGGGCAAGATAATTAAGTCACGATTAATCTTCGGCAAATCGAGGTATAGGCCTAATATCCATGCACTAGATGAAAATTGCTTTGTAATGAACTATTAATTCATGGCTTGAAAACATCTGCCGGTTTTATTAAATTAAATTATCATACACTACCAAGCGAGCTCGGGAAAGTACTGTAGACCATATACATAACAATCTACTAAAGCAATTTCTTATTCAGGAAACACGTATACGTATAGGCCTATATACATACATACATACATACATACATA